GTAGTCCAGGCTGGCCTTGAACTCAAGGCAATCCTCCTGCCTCAGCCTTTTGAGTGCCAGGACTACAGGCATGTGCCACCATGCCCAGCAAGGGGTGAAGTTCTGATTTTGTGTGTGAGGCTGGAGACTGAATTGAGGGTTTGATGTATGCTAGGCAAGCACTATACCTCTGAGTTATACCCGCAGCCCTTTTCTTTTTTTAACTGACATAATAATTGTGCATATTTATGAGGTATAATGTGGTACACAATAATACACAGGCATACATTAAATGATCAAATCAGCATAATTAGTATATCCATCACAAAAAGCACTGGGTTATTCTTTGCAGTGAGAAAGTTTGTGATCCCCTCTTCTGGCTATTCCATTATGTTATTATTAACTATGGATACCTTACTGTGTAACAGGCCATCAGGACTCATTCCTTCTATCTAACTGTATCTTTATACTTGTCCACTATTCTATCTCCTCCTCCTCTGTCCTCTGCCTTCCTTAGTCTTGGTAACCATTATTCCAGTCTCTACTTTTACAAGAACAGCTTTTTTAGATCCCATATATGAGCGAGATCATGTGGTACTTGTCCCTCTGGGCCTAGTTTATTCCCTAAACATAAGGTCCTTCAGTTCTATCCATGTTGTGGAAAATGACAAGATTTCATGTTTTTGACCTTTTCGAGACAGGGTCTCCCCGTGCAGTTCAGGCTGGTCTTGAACACACTTTGCAGCCCAGGCTGGCCTCAACTCGCAGTAATCTTGCCTCAGCCTCCTCAGTGCTGGGATTACAGGTGTGTGCCACCATGCCTGGCTGATTTCACCGTTTTTATGGCCGTTTGGTATTCCATTGTATCTACACATATTCACACCACTCTCTGTTCATTTACCAATTGCTGGCTCCTTTGGTTGATTTCATATTGTAGCTATTGTGAGTAGTTCTGCAGTAATCACAAGAGTGCAATTAACTCTTGGCATACTGATTTAATTTCCTTTGGAAATTTTTTCAGTGAGGCTGCTGGTTCACACAGCACATGGTTCTATTTTCTTTTTCTGTTTTTAATTTTTTGAGGAACATCCATACTGTTTTCCACATTGGCAATGCAATTACTGCCTTAGTTTATATCGAACCCAAGAGGGTGTAAGAATTCCTTTGTTATCTTTCGTCTCAGCCGGAATGAGGTGACAGTTCCTTGTAGTTTTGGTTTCTTTTCTTTTCTTTTTTTTTTTTAATCGGTACCGGGGATCGAACTCATGACTGTCTGCTTGCAAGGCAGGCGCTTATGCCGCTGAGCTAAATCCCCAGCCCCTGGTTTCTTTTTTGGATCATTAGTGACATTGTACATTTTTCTTATACCTGTTGCCGTCTGTATGTCTTTTGTGTATGTGCTAGAGCGCTTTCCCAGGACCTTGTAAACATAAAGCTACAATCCTGGCACTTGCATATTTTTGTTTGTTTTGTTTTTGTTTTCACAGTACTGGAGATTGAATCCTGAAGGACTCTGTTATATCCCCAGCTCTTTTTGTTTTTTTATTTTGAGACAGGGTCTTTCTAAATTGCCGAAGTGGGACTTGAACTCGTGATCCCCCTCCTTGAGCTTCCCTCAAGTGCTGAGATTAGGGCACAAGCCACCATGCCTGGCTTGTATATCTTCTTTTGAGGAATATCTGATGAAGTCTCTTGCCTGTTTTATTATTATTGTTTCTGAGATGGGCTCTTGCAGCTGGGGAGTGTGACTCAGTAGTAGAACCCAAGGCCAGCATGCACAAGTTTCTACCCTGGCACTGTAAACAAAGCGATAACAACAACAAAAGACAGACAGGTTTTTATTATGGTGCCCATGTGGCCCTGAACTCTTGGGCTCATGTGATTTTCCTGCCTCAGCCTCCTGAGTTGCTGAGACTAAAATACATTACACTTGGTTTTTTCCCCCCATTTTTAAATAAGATATTTTGTATCTTATTAATATATTAATAAGATATATTGATATTTTTTCACACTGAGTCCCTTATGTATTCTGGATATTGGCACTTTGTCAGAGGTGGCTACTTGTCAGTTCTTTTTAATTTTTTCAGTGTGCTCAGGATCAAACCCAAGGCCTTGCATCTGCTAGGCAAGAGCTTTATCACTGAGCTACACCCAGACCATTACTAATTTTTAATCTGCCTGGGACACAGCCAATCACCCTGAAATGTTTTCTTCACTTGGCTTCCAAGATACCTCACTGTCCTGGTTTCTCCGCTGTCCCCACAGTGTCCTCCTTATCTGCTCAGCCTCTGGACTATGAAATGTGCCACAACTCAGCTCCTGGTCCTCTGTCCCTCTGTCACTTGGACCCCCGGCCATCTCCTCCCTCTTCAGCTTTAGACACTAGCCAAGGGCTGCCAAGTCCCCAATTTACATGTGCCAGAGCCTCCTCCCAGACTCTAGGTTTCTCTAATTCTTGACTAAACCTCCCCTGACAAATAGGTGGCAAATTTCCAGTTCCTGGATTGAAAGCTGAATGTATTTCTCTCTCTGTCTCTCTCTCTGTCCCTGCCCCTGTCCCATCTCTCTGTCTCTTTCTCATTCTCTCTCAAACCCAGAGCCTTATGCATCTCATCCACCCCAGGCAAACACTCTGCCTTTGAGTTCCACCTTTGGCCGCCTCTTCTCCCGACACTGTACGTTCCTATTTGTTATCAAGTTCTATTTGCTTTGCCTTCAGAATACAGACAGAATCTAACCACCTCCCTTTCTAGCCCCCAGCCTCAGCTCATAGCCACCTCCATGGTCATGGCCGTCATTCCTCTCTTGAGGACTTTTTGAACCTCCCTGCTCCTGTGCTTGTTTCCTGCAATCTGTTTTCAACCCAGCAAGTCAGGCTGATGTTTTATAACACAAGACAGAACATGCCACTTTAATGACTCTGTGCCACTTGGAATAAGAAACAAAGTCCTTTTAGTCATTGCAATGGTGGGATCTCCTCACACTCTCCCTTCTCTCATCCTCGTCTCCGTACTCTTCAGACATGCTAGATACACTTCGCCCCAGGGCCTTTGCACCTGCTCCTTTGCTTTCCCTTGAGACCCATGCAGGGTCTTTCCCATGCTCCACCTGCAGGGTCTTTTTCTTTCTCTGTGAGGCCTCTGACAACTCAGTTAAGATGACAACCTCCCTCCTCACAGCAGCTAGCTTCTCTGCTTTATTCTGTCCACTGCCCCTTACACTGTCCACCATGCTGTGCACATATCTGTTTGTATTTATTCATTCATTTATTTGTGGCTGGTGTTTGAACTCAGGACTGTGCACTAAAATTCTGAGATATACTCCCTAATCCTCTTCTTTCTCTTCCTCTTCCATGTCTTCCTCCTCCTTTTTTTTTTTCCTTCTTCTTCTTTTTAAATTTTCAGACAGGGCCTTGGCAAGTTGCCCAGGCTGGTCTTGAACTTGTGATCTTCCTACCGCAACCCCTTAGAATGCTGGCCTGACAGGCGTGAGCCACATGTGGCCCATATCTATTTATTACCTCTTTCCTCATTGGAATAGAAGCTCCAGGAGGGTAGGGGATTTTATCTGTTTTTATTTTCTGTGTAATCCAGTGGCTGGAAAGACACCAGTGCTCAATATTTACAGAACTGGGGCTGGGGATATAGCTCAGTAGTAAAACATTTGCCTGGCAAGCCTGAGGTCCTGGGTTTGATTTCTAGCACCACCAAAAACAAAAACAAAATATGCATTCGCAGAGTAAATGAAGGGATGCTTGGGTAAGAGAGGAAGAAGCCCTTTTAAAAAGCCTACCTGGCTTGATGACCCATGCCTATAGTCCCAGTATTCGGGAAGCTCAAGTAGGAGGATCTCGGAGTTTGAGAGCAGCCTGGACTATATAGTGAGTTCAATCTGGTTTAACTATTTAACTACATCGCAAGATCTTGTCTTGGAAAACAAATGAGAAAAAAACCAAACCCAAACAAACAACAACAAAAATAACAGATACTTTAGGAATGGCAGTGTGTGGCTTTAGCCAGATCCCTGGGGTGAAGCTTTGGGCCGAGCCCTCCCAGGGTCACTGAAAGTTGGTTCTTGTTTCCTAACCAAACCCAAACCTCCATTTCTTCTCCCACCTGCACCTTTTAGGAGTGATGTGACCTGGGAAAGGGGTGAGCAGGATCTTCTCAGGGAGCAAGCTCTGGTGCTCTCCAGAAAGGTGCTCACTTGCTAATTTAGGGGGAGTTCCCAGCGTCCTGGTGAGGTGGTCAGAGGAAGACAGGCCTGAGTGAGCACCAGGAGGGTGAAAGGCCAGACTTTGCAGGCCAGGGACAGAGCTGCCCCATGGGATGTGGGCAGGGTGGGGGTCCCACTCTCTGGAAAGTAGATGGAGAAGCAGGTGAGGAAACAACCTGAAGACTGTGATTTGCATTTGTCTCATCTTCTCTGCTACAGTGGGAGGTCCTCCCCAGGAAAGACAGACTGCTCTGCTTTCTGTCTCCTCTGGGGCCTGCGCTGACTACTGAAACCAGAGTGGGTGCTTATTAGGGGATCCCTGCCTTGGCTGATCCCAGGCCCCCTTTTTATATTTATTTATTTAATTTTGGTTTTCTGAGACAGAGTCTCACTGTGTAGGGTTAGGCTTGAACTTACTGTATGGCCCAGGCTGACCTCGAACCCGCAGTGATCCTCCTGCCTCAGCATTCTGAGTGCTGGGATTATAGCATGGGCCCCCACACGCCCAGTTTTCCACACCCACTCTTACAGCAAATACCTCACAATGCCTCCTTCCTGTAATACCATGCAATTCATAGATAATATATCCTATTTATATGCGCCTCATTAAAAAAATCAACGCCCTCACTGAAATGCATATGAGGGAAAGTAATCATAAGTAGTCTTTTTAGTCTGTAAACACTCTGGGCAGACTTCTGCAGAATAGTCTGCTGTCAAAATCCTAAGGGTCACGGGGGGGGGGGGGTGTCTCGTTAAGCTGCCAGGTCTGGGGAGGTGCTCGGAGTTTCCAGGAGTTTCCACCAGTCTTGCAGGCGTCGCCTGGGACACCCAGCTGCAGATGTGGGCAGCGCCCAGAGCCGGCTCCGAGTGAGGGGCAGCCCCGTGCCGGGCCCGCCCTGCTGCCCGGCCTGTTCCTGGCTTCCGCGCAGCGGGCCACCCACTGCCTAGACAGCAGTTCCCACGCGAGGAGCCCCGCGCCCTGCAGCTGCAGCCTCAGGCGAAGCTCCACCCCGATGACGCCAGAGGACTGGGCTTCCGCATCCCCGGACCTGGCCGGCCCATCCTCTAGCCTGCTCCAGCGTGGGTCAGTAAATCCCTGGTGAATGCACTCATGTAACTCCCTTCCCGGCCTCCCTCTTCTTCTTCCTCCTTTTCTCCGCTTCCCCCCAATCCCCAAGGCCTTCAATCCGGACTGGGTCCCTGCAGGGGGAGCCCGAGACGACCCTTCTCTTCCCTCCCTGCTCAAGGTGGTGGTGGAGCTCCTGGAGGTCTCTGCTGTCCTGAGCAGAGGCTGTGGGCCGTGCAGAGGTGTTCTGAGGGCGTTCTGATCCCGTTCTGGGCTTGGCTGGAAGGCAGAACACCAGCAGCCCTCCCCTGCGGTGAGGACTGCACTCTGCAGTTTACAAAGTGCTTTTCTCGACACCTCCCATTCCATCCTCACAGACTTGATGTGGTTGCTGTTTGACAGATGACAAAACAGGCCCACAGAGGCTGAGTCACTAGTGCAAGGTGCCAGAGCTGGAAGGGCATCCCAAGACCAGAAGCTGGTGTGCTGGACGTATTAGGAGAGGCTTCCGGGGCTCTTGGGCTCTGTTATCTTGCTAGTGCTTGCAAACAGGGCCCCAAATTTCCACCAAGATCATTAGCTTTTGCATATGAGCGCTGCACAGCTAAATTTCTCATTACACCAATGGGGAAACTGAGGCCTGGAAAGGGGGAGGGTTTTGCCCATGCTTACAAGTTGAGTAACGTTTTGGCCTCCACTCCTTTGGCTGTCAGATGAAGTTTGTGGGGTTCGTATGGCTCCCTCCCTTGCCTGAGACCTCAGGCTGATATTTGGGTACTGTGGGGAGGAAGAGTTTAGGGTAACAGTCCTCCAAATTAAAGAGGCAGCCCCCAAAAGGAGAGGGAAGATTTAGTGCCTCAGAAAAATATATGCAAAGTGACTAAAAGATGTGTCTCTAAAGCAAGAAGGAGATGGTAGGGGGTTTGATTTTTCATTGTTTGGCTTCCCAAGTGGAGGCTCAAACCCTGACTACAGGAACAAGAGGCCCGGAGCCAGCCTCACTGAGGGCTGTTTGGGCTCATGGGCCAGGGCTCCCTGTGTCAGGCTTAGATGGAAGTCGAAGTACCTTTCCTTTGGACCCATCAGGTTCTAGCCCAGAGCAGATGGGACTCTGTGTGGGCCCAGGTGAAGCTCTGTCACTGGGCTCAGGCTCAGTTTATCACCAAGATCAAGACTACAGGATCATGGAACAGGGAGTTGCAGCTCTTGGTCCCTCCCAGAACGGACTGAACCCAGGATTCCTATTCCAGGAGGCTGTCAGCAGCTGGCTTGGAGCTCACGGTCCTGGGCTCCTGGGCCAGAGCAAAGGCTGTGGGTGTGATGATGTCCCTGGGCCACCATCAGAGAGGCATGGCAGCAGGCGACCTCCCATCTCTACGCATACTGCTTCAAGCACCTTACCCACTGGCACTCTCGGGACCACTGTTCAAGGCTCTGGTGCTTACAGAGGCCAGAGGTGCTCGGCCCTGCAGCTGGACTGGGCTCAGGTTGTCTCCTGGGCTCTGTCCAGGGACAGCGCAGGGCCTGGAAGGGCATGGTGTCCTGCTGGCTCCCAGCTCAGGTGCCCTTGAGGGCTTCCTGTCCTGTCCTTGTGCTTGTGGTTATGAAGGTGACTGTGATCTGGACTGTGCCTTTGGCTGTGTGATTGTGATGGTTGAGGTTTCAGGTCTCTTGGGCCCAGTCAAGGAAGTGTATCTGCCAGGTACTCGGAACACAAGTTTTGGGGGCTGGACTTTGGGCTGCATCACAGTACCGTCCAGGACCCTGGAAACCTGACGTGACCTGAGTGACACACCTTTCTCAGTCTATGCAGGTGACAGTCAGGTCTCATGTTGCACTGAGGAGCTGGGGCCCACGTGTGCCACCCCCTCACCTATGTTCCCACCTGCACATCGCTTCTCTGAGTTATTCCTGAGGATCAGTCCTCCTTTATCAAAGGACAGCCGCAGTGGCTTTCTGTCAGCTGAGATAAGATGCCAGTTCTTCTCCGGCTGACTTGCCTCTGTCTCCTCCTCCCAGCTGGGCTGCTCACAGTCTGGCTGCATCAGCCACGCGTCTGTTCTGCAGACACAGCAGGCCTGTGCCCACTCAGGGACTTCCAAGCCCACCCCACCCCCAGTTCTCCACCTGTCTGCTTCCTCATCCTCCCAGGCCCAGCTCACAGAGTCCTTCCCTCACCTTCCCTCTAGGGGGGCTCCCCCCAGTTCTCTCCAGCTCTTCACCCCTGTTACTGCCTGCTCAGCACCAATCCCCATCTGCACTGTCACCTTCATAACTTATATGTTATCACTTTTTTTTTTGAAATGGGATCTCAAATTCCTGGGCTTAGGCAATGCTCCTGCCTCAGCCTTCTAAGTTTGGAGAGGATAGGTGTGTGGTATCATACCAGGCCACTGACATATTATTTTATTTCTCCCCTAGTTGTAAGTTCTAAGAAGTGGGCACTTCATTTCCTTTGTCCCTAGAACCTGGATGGTGCCTGTTATGGTTGAAATATGAGGTGTCCCTTAGAGACTGTAGTAAGAGATGTATTAAGGGCTTGTTCCTAAGGCCACAATGTTCACAGGCAGGGCCAAGAGAAGCACCTGGAACATGAGGCTTCTCATCAGTCAATCAGTCCATCAATTAACTCACATATCTGAATGGGGAGCTAAGGACCTTGTTAGAGGACATAAGTCACTGGGGCATACTTTGAAAGTCTAGCCTGTCCCCAGGCCTGTCCACTCCCTCTAGCTCTCTTATTCTCTCTTTTTTTGAAACAGGGTCTCATTATACAGTTCAGGCTGGCCTTGAGCTCACTTCGTGGCCCAGGCTGGTCTCAAACTTGAAATGATCCTCCTGCCTCAGCCTCCCAAGTGTTGGGATTACAGGCATGAGCCGCTATACCTGGCTTGCTCTTTTTTAATTAAAAACATTTGTTTTGAGACTGGGTCTTGCTTTGTAGTTCAGGCTGATGTCAAACTCACGCTCCTCTTGTCTCATCCTCCCAAGTGCTGGAGTGTAAAATTACCGGTATATGCCACCATGTTTGGCTCACTCCTGCTCTTTTTCTGCTTCCAGTTGCTATGCGGTGAGTAGCTTTTCTCCGCCACAACCTTCTGCTGTGATGTTTCTGTCTTGGAGCCAGCTAACTGTGAACTGAAACCTCGGAAACCGTGAGTCAAACAATATCTCCCTCTTTCTTTTTCTATGTGGGGGGTGGGGTGGGGCACGGGTATTTTTGAGGCAGGATTTGAACTCACTTTGTAGCCCAGGCAGGCCTCTAGCCCACAGTGATCCTCCTGCCTCAGCATCCAGTACTGGGATTACGGCGCCATTATGCCTGGAATCTTTTCACCTTTGAGTTGTGTATTTCAGGTACTTTTGTCCCAACAATGGAAAGAGCTGGGGATGTAACTCAGTGATAGACTACTCCAGGTTCAGTTCCTACTAAAAGCAAGAAGGAAGGAAGGAAAGAAAAAAAAAGAGGAAAAGAAAGAAAAGAAAAAAGGCAAGAATGTTAGGCCTGATTTCTGCTTTCTCCTGGGGTGCAAAAGGAAAGGGGAAAGAAAGAAAGAAAGAAAGAAAGAAAGAAAGAAAGAAAGAAAGAAAGAAAGAAAGAAAGAAAGAAAGAAAGAAAGAAAGAAAAAGAAAGAAAGAAGGAAGGAAGGAAGGAAGCAGGCAAGCAAGTGCAAAGCTTTGGCTCAGCACTGGCCCCAGAGAGTGCCAAGTGGACCAGGGCCTGCAGGGGTCGTCGCTGTGTGGGAGCAGCAGAGGTTGTCGGAGGATCCCTCAAGGCTTTGGCTTTGCTAAGCTCAGATGTCCCCTTCCCAGCCCTGCTTGTCTTCCTCTATCCTAAGCTCCCATTGTAGCCACTCCCTCTTGCTCTTTGGGAGGGGGGCTCCCTCATTCTAGACTTCAAGGCCCCGCTCACTTCTCCTGAGGCTAAGCGGACCATGGACAAGCAGCACTCACATATGGCCGGGGCAGACCAGAGGGTCACTCAAGCCCTGTGCTCTGAGTCTGGCAGAGATGAGGAGGGTTAATAATTCACTAAGAAATCAAAGCTTGCTGGAAGCTTAGGCAAGAGGATCATGAGTTCAAGGCCAGCCTGAGCTGTGTAGCACGTTTAAGGCCATCCTGAACTGCATAGTAAGACCTTGTCTTAAAATCAAACCAAACCACACCAAACCAGTCTGTTTAGCCAGGCAGCCTTTGGTAGCATGGGAAATGTGGTACCTGATAGTACCTGCTGGTGACAGCAGTCATCCAGAATCTAATAATGGCTTGGTCTGTCGGAAGCTGTCACTTCCTTGGTTCCTGCTCCTTACCTGAGCCTGGATCTCCAGGCTTTACATCACTTCTGGGAGCTCCACAGTATCTTCCGTGTCTTCATAGGCCAGCCAGGGTCAGGTTCTGTTAATTACACTCAAGAACTCGGATTTCCATCTACCTTGTTACCTCAAGATCAAACTTGACCACAGGGCCCTCTAGCATGTGACCCTCCCTGGCCTGGCTGCATTTCCCAGTGCAGGGCAACCAGCAAGTTCAGGGCTGCAGCAGTGACCCTGAGAGCACAGAGGCAAGGAAATGGCCTTGCTGCCACGTGGACACCGCCCACTGCCGGGGAAGGACATAATGGGGCCAATCGTGACAGCATGACGATGACATTGAGGGTGACGCTGTGGAGTGATAGGAAGCAAGGAAATGGCCTTGTTACCTATCTTGTTACCTCAAGATCAAACTAATCCCACCTGGGCATGGTAGTGCACACCTGTGATCCTAGCACTGGGGAGGCTGAGGCAGGAAGATCACCAGGAGTTCAAGGCCAGGCTAGACTACACAGTGAGATCTTGTCTCAAAAAAAAAAAAAAAAAAAAAAAAAAAAAATCAAACATCCCATTTGTCCTCAGGGCTGGGGATTTAGCTCAGCAGCATAAGCACCTGCCTGGCAAGCACGAGGTCATGAGTTCAATCCCCAGTACCAAAAAAAAAAAAAAAAAAAAAAAAAAAGTGGATTCCCATTTGTTCTCATCAGGTGCCATAACCATTCATGTTACCATCTTTGTCACCTGCAACATCAACAGCTTTCACCATTTTCATGTTTTCAAACTCTGTCTGCTGGAAATAACAACCTCTGTTAATGTTTTTGGCAGGAAGATATTTAATACAGGGCAGGAGAAACAGTTGACAGAGTCGGAATGAGGCAAGCCTTCAGGAGTGACTCTGGAACTACACAGAACTTAGCTGTCTAGAGAGCCACAACCAAGCTGGGCATGGAGGTACACATCTGTAATCCCATCAGTTTGGGAGGCCGAGGCAGGAGAATCACAAATTTGAGCCTGAGTAACTTGGAGAGACCTTGTCTCAAATTAAAAAAATAAGAAAGCACTGGGGATGTAGCTCAGTGTGACAGCCCTGAGTTCAATTCCCAGTACTGCAGAGAGAGACAGAGACAGAGACAGACAGAAAGAGGCAGAGACAGAGACAGACAGAGACAGAGAGACCAACACAAGAATCATGGATCCAAGATACCTCCCACCTCCAGGCCAAGCTTCAGTCCAGGAGCCAGGAAGTTTATGAACCTGGTCTGCCAGCACTGCATTCCTTGTTTCAGTCGCTGCTGGGCAACCAGAAAGCCAGATGCTGATGGACCCCAGGTGGCTGCACAGAAAAACCTCCTGTTACTGTAATCTTGCTGGCTGGCAGAAACAGGAAAAGGGGGTGGGGAGCACTGCAGGATGAAACGGCGGCAGCAGCACCACCGGCATCATGCGGTGCTCACCGGGCCGCGCTCTGGTGACGACTGTCTGTTTTATGAATGCAGAAACGGAAACACAGGACGGTGCCCTACTCAGTTTTCTGTCTGCATCTTGCTGGGACTCAGGCTGCAGGGGAGGGAGGTGGTGGTGTCAGCTGTGCGCCTCCCCCGTGAGGATGCACAGTACCCACCCTGCCACATCACTGCCACTGACTGTCACCTGCCCATGGAGGCTATGAGCTGCCACCCCATTAATCATCCCCAGAGCCCCCATCAAGTTATCATCAGCCTGCTGCCTCCTCCATCAACATCTAACAGGGCCGTCACCTTTCCTATCACTCCACAGCGTCACCTTCAATGTCACCGTCACTGCTGTCACAATTGGCCCCATTATGTCCTTCCCCGGCAGTGGGCGGTGTCCACGTGGCAGCAAGGCCACTTCCTTGCCTCTGTGCTCTCAGGGTCACTGCTGCAGCCCTGAACTTGCTGGTTGCCCTGCACTGGGAAATGCAGCCAGGCCAGGGAGGGTCACATGCTAGAGGGCCCTGTGGCCATGAGCATGGCTGTGAGGGTCCCAGGGAGCCACTTGGAGGCCGGAGCATTCACCCATGCCTCACCAGTGTCTGGCCTTTGTGCTGGAGAAAAACAAGATGCTCTGATGGTTGACTGACTTAAAGTCAGTCAAGGTCAGCAAGTGACTTCACCTTGCCAGGCCTCAGTTTCATCATCTGTGAGACTAGAATGCGAGGAGCTGCCTTGCAGAGTAATGGGAAATTTGAGGAAGCATAAATAAAGAAACGGGCATGGTGTCCAATGCCCACAAGGCTCTCAAATGGGAGCTACTCGTTGCCATGTGGCCTTGAACTCACCATGTGGCTGAGGCTGGCTTCGAACTCATGGTGATCCGTTTGCCTCAGCCTCTGGAGCTGGGATTTTAACACAGGGAGTTTAGCTCCAGAGTCTGAGCTCCTCAGCTCAGAACTCTTTGGAGCTGGGTGTGACAGTGTGTATCTATAATCTCAGCACTGTGGGAGGCTGATGCAGGAGGATGGCAAGTTCAAACCTGCGCAGTTTAATAAGACCCTGCTTCAAAAGTAAAAAAGGGCTGGGGATGCAGTTCAGAGCTGGCAGCAAGGGCCTCCCCCTGTTGCAAACCCTTCCTTCCGGCCCTGTCTAGGTTGGAGGAGACTCTGCTTTCTCCCTCTCCAGCTTCCTACCCCTTCCCCTCTGGGAGTCTTTCCTGTTGTCTGCTTGAGTTTGGGCTGGGACGGGGAGGAAGGGGCTCCCTGACTGTGACACCTAGTGAAGGGGACCTCAGGAGATGTGTGGAAGGGCTGAGCCTGGGCTTCCAGGGTTCTGGGCAATGCCCTGGGGCAGGCCAGGGCTCCCACTCTCCTGCGCCTCCAGGGCCCTCACCGTTCCGCCTGCTGAGCTCCCCAGGCTGGGTCACGGACTCCACAACTGATGCTGCTTTTTGGTCCTTCCCCATCCTATTTGGTGCCTCCCTCAATGCCAGCTCCATGGAATGCGAGACTAGTTCCAGCCCTCCTGCCCCTTTCTAAGGGCTCCACAAGGAGCTGGCAGCAGACTGTGGCCCAGCCTGGAGTCTCAGTGACACACAGCCATAGCATGACTCCAGTCCACATCTCCTCTGCCCAGCTTGGCCACTATCTTAGCCAGAGACCCAAACCACAAGAGCACCAGGAGGTGAGGTGCACCAGATGGGTTCCGAGACACATGTACACACCTGGAAATCCTCAAATGTGGGGGAGAACCTTTGCAGTGAGTCTAAGTAGGCTTGGCCTTCTGGCCTCTGTCCGGTCACCCCAGACAGGCATTTCAGCCCCTCAGCTCCCCGCAGCACAGGGGGAGGCTCTGGGAGAACTTCTGCAGGAACATTTTTTTTTTTTGTCTTTTTCCTTTTTATCGGTACCAGGGATCGAACTCACGACTGTCTGCTTGCAAGGCTGGTGCTTATGCCGCTGAGCTAAATCCCCAGCCCCATGCAGGAACATTTCTACCCCCTTGTGTTTCAGGGAACCAAGGAGCTGGGCCCAGCCCTGAGGTGGGCTCCCAGCTGTGAGGAGGCTCTGGCTTGGCCCCCATGGCAAATTCCCTGCCTCCTCCTCCATCCTCTGCATTTTCTCAGCCACCATCTGAGGCCGGGGGTTACCTGGAGCCTGAATCACCTAAGCTTTCAGAGCCTGTCTTGCCCCTGCCAACCCCGTCTCCATGGGAGCCTCTAAGTGCAGCCAGCCACTCACCAGCACAGCCCTGCCAGGCTTTCCATGGGCTCGTGACCCCGGTGGCCCAGCTCATCTCCCTGACTCCTGTCTGTGACTGTCCCCTGCCTCTATTTTTTCCTACCTGCTGTTTCCTCTGCCATACCATTCACATTTCTCAGGGACAGGGTTGTGTCCTTCCTGGGGTCAACCCATGATTGCCCAGCACCTTGCCTCAATGTGGGTCAACCCTGAAAGGCCAGCCCAGCTTCTCCAGAAAACTTCTAACCTGCACCAGTGCTAAGGTGAGGCCCATAATCCAAGGGCTGTGTCCTGTCATCCATCCATGCCTGTGTGCATTTTGTAACTCAATTGATCCATTTGCTCTATCCAGATCTACTGAGCACTTCCTGTGTGCAGGCAGGTTTGAGGCTCTAACACAGCAGTGACCCAGATAGGCAAGAATTCCTACTCTGAATGAGGCGACTGATGATACCAATATATATAGACTATGGTGTGAGGTAGGGATCAGTGTTCTCTGGACAGAGGCAAAAAGGACAAAGCACAGGAAGGTGTTGTGTTATGATGGTAACACTTGATCAGAGGCCTGTGTGAAATGGGAGAAAGCCGCGGACATCTAGGCATGGAACATTCCAAGCAGAGAGAAGAGCAGGTGCAAAGGTCAGAGGAAGGGATCTGTGCATGAAGCTGAGACCCAAGGAGGGTAGAAGCAGGAGGGTGGGTGTTAACACGATGCCCATCACACCGGGCCTCTGGAATCACCAGGCGTTTGGATTTGGTTCCATGTCGGAGGCCTGTGGAGAGCTTCCAGGATAACAGCAAGGAAGATTGCTCTGGCCAGTGTGGAGAACCATCCACAAGGGAGGCTGGGGCTCATTCTCAGGACAACAAATAATGCTGGGAGAGATGGCGCTGGTGTGGGACAGAAGGGATATCACGGTGAGAGATGGCTGCTCTCGGGACACAGAAGGCAGAGCCAACCAGAGGGCTTTTGAGTGGGCTTAGACATAGAGGAGAGCGATTATGCAAGGTTAAGGCCTGTGAATGGGACCCTGGTTTTTATGGGATTCCTTGATTTCTGGCTGCCTTCTAAGTGGAAAGACAGTTTGATTTTGCTCAGCATTGTCCGGTTGAGCCTATTATTCAGTACGCCATGGCTATTTCACGAATGTTTGTTGAATGACTGAATGAAAGATGTCACCCATGTGGAAACTCCTATTGGTCCAGTTCCATGCCCAGTGTCTTTTCCCTCCTGCCAGGCTTTTGGAGAGGACCCAAGAAAACAGAGATATATAGAGGTTGGTGAGTAACAAACAGTGCCTATAGGCTGGGTGGCTGTTTGGTCATTGCCAAACAGTGGCTCACCATATTCTGCTTGGAGCCAGGCCAGGTTGTGGCCTTTGTGCTGGAAGATGGGCACGCTGCCAAGCCAGCCTGGCAGGGCCTCCCTGGGGAGTAACCCTTACCACTTGGGGTCTGGCCTCTGGATCCCAGAGAGAGCCTGAGCTTGGAACAGCTATGCCCAGAGGATAGACGCAGGTGCCCTGGCTCACATTCCCCAGGGTCTGAGGCAGCCCCCAATGCCCCAGGAGACACAGGGAGATGTGGAGGGACTCAGCACCAAAGCCGGGGAGTCCTGCAGGTCTCACCCCAGGACGTGGAGGAGCTGCCACATCCTTCCCTCCCCAGCTGTCCCCTCACAGGTGCCTGGGCCCAGAGTTTCAGGGTCTCATGCAGGGCGATGGAGTGAGGGTCTCCTAGGTGGGTTCTCTGAGCTTAAATTGGGCCCTTGGGACCCTCTCTCTTGGACCCTCATTTTCTCTCCTCTCCTATGCATTTCTGTCCGTTTACATGTGTGATTAATGACTCTGTCCGTCAGTTCTCTGGCTGTGGGGACAGTGCCTGCCTCAGTCCCAGGATGGACCCAGTGCCCTGCCCGGTGGCCCCTTTCCTGGAGGCTCGCAGGAGGTGCTGTAGCATCAGGTGAAGGGATGAGAAATGGAGGCGCTCTGTAAATGGCAAGGTAGGTTGGACAGTGCGGCTGCAAAAGCGTGCGTCTCAGCAGCCTTGGCTGGCAGGGTGTAGTCTAAGCAGCCTCCTCCCTCCCACCCCACCCCTGAACCCAGGATCAGGAGACCAGCAAGGCTGAGAAATAACAATAATAAGGGCAGCAGTTTCACCCACACTGCTTCATTTAATCTGCACAACACCATCACGAGGTGACAACTGTCATTATTCCCGATGGAAAGCTTTGTAAGCAGAGGCTCCGGGGAGCTTCATTAATTCATCCAAAATAAACAGATGGTGGGGTGAGGACTCCAGCCCAGGTCTGTCTGAGGTCCTGGATGTGAATCTGCCGTAAAGAGCAGCACTGGCTCTCGACTCTGTTCCCCCCTTTTCTCTCCATTGTTTTTTGGGTGCTGGGATCAGACCCAAGGGCTCCCACATACTAGTGCTCTATCACTGAGCTACACCCCCAGCCCACTCTCTTTGCCTTTAAACTCTTTTATTGGTACCGGGGATCAAACTCACGTCTGCCTGCTTGCAAGTCAGGTGCTTATGCCGCTGAGCTAAATCCTCAGCCCCGCCTTTAAACTCTTGAATCTTCTCAATCCCCATCTGTTTTGGGTTTTTTTTGGTACTGGAATTGCCAGGCAGGAGCTGTGCCTCTGAGCTATATCCCCAGCCGTTTTGTCTCAACAAAGTTCTCACTGTGTAATTCAGGTTGGTCTTGAACTCCCTGTGTAGCTCAGACTGGCCTCAAACTTGCAGTGATCCTCCTACTTCAGCCTCCTAAGTGCTAGAATTATAAACATACCCTACCATGCGCAGCTCCAGCCCCAGCTTGTCTCCTCTAGGTTCCTGCTCAGCAGCTTCGAGCAGGCACCTGTCAGACTCTTAGTCAGGCTACCTGTGAAATGGACACACTAATCCCTGCCCATTTGGGAATGTTCTGTGTAAAGTCAAGGGCTGGACAAAGAGAGGCCTTGGGAGTAGAGGTGGCTACAGAGACACCCAGGATGACCCTCAGGGAGCAGGCCCCTGCCTCCCTGCCCCGGCTCTGCTCCCAACTGTGGGTGACTGTGGACCT